TTCCCATGAGCATTCCCACCTGTATTCCCACGTGCATTCCCACATTCCCATCACGCTATCTAGGTCCTCTGCTGGAGGACCTGCTCGCTTTGATACCCCAGGTACCGGGGTACCCCAGAAAGCCAAGGGAAAGGACACCTATGAACCGTTTGCAAGAGGCTTTTTAATAAAAACTAAAGTGCTCACTGAAATGATTTTATGAAATGATGAAAGTGCTGACTGCAAGGATTTTTTTGTGTGTCATTTAAAGCTATTGCAGTGAGTGTGGTAGGGAGTGGGACTCGTGTCTAGCCCTCAAATGTCCAAAACGTCCAGACTGCTGTAGCAGGGCAGCTGCTCTGGTCTTGTCATGAGCAGAATCACTGGCCTAAATTATCAGAAAAAAAAAAAAAAAAAGATTTCGTATTTACACATATGGTAGGATCAGTTACTGTAATCACATTTTCTGGAAATTTTACTTCATTTTATCTAAACACTTGTGCGAATGTGTTCAGTGAGAAAGAGGAAGAAGTACGGCCTTGCTGTTACAAAATGTTGTAGGAGTTTTCTTGAATAGCCCTTCTACCTCAGCAGGACAGACCCAATATTTGGAATTTAACAAGGAAATAAACCCCAGTCTTACAAGGACTAGCGCACGCACTTAATTTTTCATGGTCTGCTGAAATCTGTTTTCATTTTGGCTGCTTTAAAGAGACTTTAAAAATATATGTATAAACTTCATTTCTTCATGCTAATTTTTAATCTACTGTAACATTTTTTATTCTATGAGAATGTTGCAGCTAATGGTCTTGCATCCTTCCCTTGGCACGGCCTGTGCAGCTCTAAGTCGAGCGGAATTTCCCATGTGAACGGTGGTCTCTGAGTGCTATTTCAGCCCTGGATCTGTGCGCAGGGAAAGCTGGTTGCAATCATGTTTGGTGGGACAGTGAGCATGAATGCGGGGAGAAGCTGTATTCCCTCATGTGCCCAGAGCTGCTCTGCCAAAACCGGCAGTTTATGTCTGACCCATTCCGGTCTTCGACAGCTTTGAGGGCTTGAAGGTTGGTCAGGCTTGGAATTCAAACAAAGGATATTGAAAGTATCTGGATTTTGTATACAGAAGGGTAAAACTCTAAGGAAGAGGTCCAGACCTACCTCCGTGAATAACCACTTCAAAGTGGGTATTAGAAATAAGCAAAGAAAGTAAGAGGAATGGAAAAAAAGGATTAATCAAAGAAAATGACATCTTAGGCATAAAGGGACATTTGCCAAAAGCAAGGCTGAACTAGACCTTGCAAAGGAAACTAAAAGAAATAGCAAAATGTTCTTCAGACACACATGGCAGGAGGTGGAAAAGAGAAGGAGAGGGGGTGAGAGAGGGAAGGGCAAGAAATAAAGGAAAATATGGTATATAGTGGAAATGCACATAAATGAAATAAGTGCATAGCAACTGTGTCATCCAAGTGAAACGAAGCGAAGAGATCAAAATGGGACAGGCCTATGAAGTATGTTATTGACAGTTCAGGTTTAAGTAACAGCATCAATGCAGGAACAGCACAACACAATCACGGAGCAGAAAAAATGGTTCTGAAATTTAAAAAGAGGAAAAGCAACGGAAGTAAGACCGATCCCAGTACTGTACGAGACTTAATAAAGTTAGCAGGAAAGAATAATGCAAGATCTGCTGGCAAATAGAAATGGGCTGAAATACACCATGCGTTTTACATGACTAGACTAACCTCATGACTTTGTCAAGCAGCTGGTTTTCTAAGCAGAGAAAAGCTAGTAGATCTGATCTGTCTGCTAATGAATAAGTGCAGATTGGAAATCTCAAGAAAATGTTCAGCCATCAAAGGAATGAGGTTCTGGTATATCTTTCCTACAGGCATAGCGAGGCTGCACAAATGCTTTTTAAGAGAGCA